AAGTCTGGTTTAGCACCATAAAGTGAGAGTGTCGGACCAGGGACCTCACTAAGTCTGGTCCAGCACCATAATGTGAGAGTGATGGACCAGGGACCTCACTAAGTCTGGTTTAGCACCATAAAGTGAGAGTGTCGGACCAGGGACCTCACTAAGTCTGGTCCAGCACCATAATGGAAGAGTAATGGACCAGAGACCTCACTAAGTCTGGTCCAGCACCATAATGTGAGAGTGATGGACCAGGGACCTTACTGAGTCTGGTCCAGCACCATAATGTGAGAGTGATGGATCAGGGACCTCACTAAGTCTGGTCCAGCATCATAATGTGAGAGTGACGGAGCAGGGACCTCACTAAGTCTGGTCCAGCACCATAATGTGAGTGGTGGACCAGGGACCTCCCTAAGTCTGGTCCAGCACCATAATGTGAGAGTGACGGACCAGAGACCTCACTAAGTCTGGTCCAGCACCATAATGTCAGTGATGGACCAGGGACCTCACTAAGTCTGGTCCAGCACCATAATGTGAGTGGTGGACCAGGGACCTCACTAAACCTGGTCCAGCACCATAATTTCAGTGATAGACCAGGGACCTCACTAAGTCTGGTCCAGCACCATAATGTGGGAGTGATGGATCAAGGACCTCACTAAGTCTGGTCCAGCAACATAATGTGAGAATGGCGGACCATGGACCTCACTAAGTCTGGTCCAGCACCATAATGTCAGTGGTGGACCAGGGACCTCACTAAGCCTGGTCCAGCACCATAATGTGAGAGTGACTGACCAGCGACCTCAATGAGTCTGGTCCATCACCATAATGTGAGAGTGATGGATCAGGGACCTCACTAAGTCTGGTCCAGCACCATAATGTGAGAGTGACGGAGCAGGGACCTCACTGAGTCTGGTCCAGCACCATAATGAGAGTGGTGGACCAGGGACCTCACTAAGTCTGGTCCAGCACCATAATTTCAGTGATGGACCAGGGACCTCGCTAAGTCTGGTCCAGCACCATAATGTGAGAGTGATGGACCAGGGACCTCACTAAGTCTGGTTCAGCACCATAAAGTGAGAGTGTCGGACCAGGGACCTCACTAAGTCTGGTCCAGCACCATAATGTCAGTGATGGACCAGGGACCCACTAAGCCTGGTCCAGCACATAATGTGAGAGTGGCGGACCAGGGACCTCACTAAGTCTGGTCCAGCACCATAATGTGAGTGATGGACCAGAGACCTCACTAAGTCTGGTCCAGCACCATAATGTGAGAGTGACGGAGCAGGGACCTCACTAAGTCTGGTCCAGCACCATAATGTCAGTGATGGACCAGAGACCTCACTAAGTCTGGTCCAGCACCATAATGTTTGAGTGACGGACCAGGGACCTCACTAAGCTCTGGTCCAGCACCATAATGTGAGAGTGATGGATCAGAGACCTCATTAAGTCTGGTCCAGCACCATAATGTGAGAGTGAGGACCAGGGAGCCTCACTAAACCTGGTCCAGCACCATAAGTGATGAGTGATGGACCAGGGACCTCACTAAGTCTGGTCCAGCACCATAATATGAGAGTAACGGACCAGGGACCTCACTAAGTCTGGTCCAGCACCATAATGTGAGAGTGATGGACCAGGGACCTCGCTAAGTCTGGTCCAGCACCATAATGTCAGTGATGGACCAGGGACCTCACTAAGTCTGGTCCAGCACCATAATGTGAGAGTGATGGACCAGGGACCTCACTAAGTCTGGTCCAGCACCATAATGTGGGAGTGATGGATCAAGGACCTCACTAAGTCTGGTCCAGCAACATAATGTGAGAGTGGCGGACCATGGACCTCACTAAGTCTGGTCCAGCACCATAATGTCAGTGGTGGACCAGGGACCTCACTAAGCCTGGTCCAGTACCATAATGTGAGAGTGGCGGACCAGCGACCTCAATGAGTCTGGTCCATCACCATAATGTGAGTGATGGACCAGGGACCTCACTAAGTCTGGTCCAGCACCATAATATGAGAGTAACGGACCAGGGACCTCACTAAGTCTGGTCCAGCACCATAATATGAGAGTGGCGGACCAGGGACCTCACTAAGTCTGGTCCAGCACCATAATGTCAGTGGTGGACCAGGGACCTCACTAAGCCTGGTCCAGTACCATAATGTGAGAGTGGCGGACCAGGGACCTCACTAAGTCTGGTCCAGCACCATAATGTCAGTGATGGACCAGGGACCTCACTAAGTCTGGTCCAGCACCATAATGTCAGTGATGGACCAGGGACCTCATTAAGTCTAGTCCAGCACCATAATGTCAGTGATGGACCAGTCAGGTAGAGTAGAGCAGACTGTTTATTTAATATAGTCATTATTTAGTTTTGAGTCATATATATTTTAAAGATGAAAATATCAATCGAGATAAAATTAAATTTGTGCGTTATGGGTAATTCATCCCTGTTGCTATGAGAACTAGCGGTGAATTATAGTTGGAGGAGGCGATCTGTACCTTTGGAGGAGACCTGTACTTTTGGAGGAGATCTGTACTGTTGGAGGAGACCTGTACTGTTGGAGGAGATCTGTTCTGTTGGAGGAGATCTGTACTTTTGGAGGAGATCTGTACTGCTGGAGGAGATCTGTGCTGTTGGAGGAGATATGTACTGTTGGAGGAGACCTGTACTGTTGGAGAAGATCTGTACTGTTGGATGAGACCTGTACTGTTGGAGCAGATCTGTGCTGTTGGAGGAGACCTGTACTGTTGGAGAAGATCTGTACTGTTGGATGAGGCCTGTACTGTTGGAGGAGACCTGTACTGTTGGGGAGATCTGTTGTTGGAGGAGATCTGTACTGTTGGAGGAGACCTGTACTGTTGGAGGAGATCTGTTCTGTTGGAGGAGATCTGTACTTTTGGAGGAGATCTGTACTGCTGGAGGAGATCTGTGCTGTTGGAGGAGATATGTACTGTTGGAGGAGACCTGTACTGTTGGAGGAGATCTGTACTGTTGGATGAGACCTGTACTGTTGGAGCAGATCTGTGCTGTTGGAGGAGACCTGTACTGTTGGAGAAGATCTGTACTGTTGGATGAGGCCTGTACTGTTGGAGGAGACCTGTACTGTTGGGGGAGATCTGTACTGGGAGATCTGTACTGTTGGAGGAGATCTGTACTGTTGGAGGAGATCTGTACTGTTGGAGGAGATCTGTACTGTTGGAGGAGATCTGTACTGTTGGAGGAAACCTGTACTGTTGGAGGAGATCTGTACTGTTGGAGGAGACCTGTACTGTTGGAGGAGACTGTACTGTTGGAGGAGACCTGTACTATTGGAGGAGACCTGTACTGTTGGAGGAGATCTGTACTGTTAGAGGAGATCTGTACTGTTGGAGGAGACCTGTACTGTTGGAGGAGATCTGTACTGTTGGAGGAGACCTGTACTGTTGGAGGAGACCTGTACTGTTGGAGGAGACCTGTACTGTTGGAGGAGACCTGTACTGTTGGAGGAGACCTGTACTATTGGAGGAGCTATGTACTGTTGGAGGAGGGGATCTGTACAGTGTTCCACCGTTTACAGGTATTATAGCATATCACAGGTACGCACCAGGCGTGGTGACAAAACTCCAAATAGAGAAGCACCTCACTTTTGAAGAGCGTTATGAAGGACGGGTCGTCTAGAAATATGAACACCCTTCTTTGCACAATGGTCCGAGAACTTCAGTTCGTTGTCAACATACTGTACACACCCAGGTCCATTATCACATTTAGTCTCAGTCAGTGTTGTTTCTTCGTACTGTTGGTATGACCCAGGTGCATCTTTTTGTATTTTGTAATATTGAATCATAATAGCCATTCCTTTGACCACTCTAAAACCGACAAAGATCTTTATGTAGCTCTTCACAATCTGTTTTGCTCATAATTTTTATGAATAGCAAAGGATAGTCTGCAAAAATTTGAGTGGATGAGTGTAGTCGCTTCTGGAATACCATTTATGAAAACAACAACAACAACGGGCCTAATACACTGCCTTGTGGTACCCCGCTTGTTGATGATGATGATGATGATAATGAAGTAAAGTGGCAAATGACTTTGCTCTGGGAAAGGAGAGGAGAGAGAGAGAGAAGTAAAGCATGGAAACGGGAAGAAAAGTGGGAGGGGTAGATAGCAGGTGGGCTGTCCACTTGTTATGGGTACACATGACACTTTTGTACCATTAATTGCCACACACTGCTTGCACTCATGAAGAAAGTCTATTATCCACGCTAGGACGCTACCCCTTAGATATATAGTTAAAGATTCTTTTGTGTATTCAAAGTTACTAGTTGTATAAAAAAAATAGTACACAGAGTAAATGGTTCTTTTCTGTGGAAGTCATTTTAAGTAGACCTGATGAGAAATTGTCAGTGGCCCAAGGTTCTGCTGTTGCATAAATTTCCTTATTTTCTCTATGTAGAATATGTTTATTTTCCTTCAAGATGCTTAAAATTAACCTTCGAAATAAAAAAACAAATATTAATTTGAATTGGGACAAGCTCACTAGCTCGGATGAAAGTTAGTGTCATAGCCAGGATTTTGTGAGGGTAAACTCTATTATCATATACTATAACCATAATCGAAAGACAATTTAGTATATTTGGTATAAAATAGTACTACAGGTGTATATGATGGTGCAGTTTATTATCTAAACTGTTGAAATGCCACCAAAAAATGACTAAAAACTCAATATTAATCATGCAACATGTGCATTTTGTCAATCATTCTGCATACCCAATCCCCAGGCCTTCTCTCTGGAAAAACCTTGGCAGGGGGACCCCGGTAAATATCGTGTATGTATAAATTATAGTCTGCACATTTTGTAGTATAACCTGTCAATTGTAGGCATTCTAGTCTCCCTGGGCAATTGAAGCGTTTTAATGCCACCTACAGTTTGGTAGTCCTCTAGTGGACATTCTCAATCTATCACTTAGGTATAATCATAGATGATACTAAAAATTACTAATTTTTCCACATAGGTTTAACATTGTCTTTTATTCCCAGGTATGATGGCCAGGTGATTGAGAGGGCAGCTGCAGACAGCTATAAGCGCTGCTGCATATACAGCATCCTAACTACTCTCGCCCACTCTACCATCATCAACATTCTATTCATCACAGTTTGGATTACCATCAACATTTCACTGTCCACCTGCTGTCCTTCTGTACTACAGTATTTTTGTTGAGAAGTTAGCATTACGAGAACAAGCCCACTGAGCTGCACTTGTGGCAGTAAATCAGTTTCAAGACAACTTGTGTGGTCATTGCAGAAGATATAAAATGTTTCCAAATGTGGGGTATGTGACTGGTCGATTACGTGAGGCTAGGGATGTGACAGGCCGCCTGCGAGAAGTTGGAAGAATCCCAGTGAAAAGAGTAGAGGAAGTTTCAGAACCACTTCGAGAACCGGGCATCATCACTGGGTACAGACATGAGAATTGCTCCGTAATTCAGGCAGTTGCATCACTTTTCAATGCCACAAATGAGACCGTTAACTTCTGGACACACTTTCTAGCCAGTGTGTATTTTGCATGGTTATTGGTGTCTCTTTCAACTATTATGCCACTCTTCGACGATCCCTACCTCTATCCTCTTACCTGCTACTTCATTGCCTCTTGTTGTTATCCTCTCATGAGTTGTTTAGCACATGCATTTTCTTGCTTATCTCTCACAGCCACTCATGTTTGCTTCTTCATTGACTACCTTGCCATTTCTATGTATAGTTGGGCTGTAGCATATCTTTACTATAGTTACTGTTTCCCTCCACAACTGATGAACACATGGCTTTCTCAGGTCTACCTTCCAGTTGCTGCAGTCAATGCTGTTTTGGCCACTCTTTGTGCAAGTTTGTCTCGTTTCATTCACCATTCTGTGACCCGGAAGATCCTTCGAGTTGCTGCATTTGTGAAACCTTTTATATGGGATTCCCTTCCATTAGTGCTTTGGCTTTACACATGTGATACTAGTGGTGACTCGTGTGAGGAGTCACGCAGTTATCACCTTAATCAGTTTGCTTGTGTCTTCATTGCATTATTCTTCTATGGTTCTCACATTCCTGAACGTCTTGCACCAGGATGCTTCGACTTTGTGGGACACTCGCATAACATTTTACATGTCTTTAGTATATTGGGTACAAATGAGCAGATGCGTGCAGTCCTTATTGATTTAAAAAATCGTAGAGCAGATTTAGAGGTGGCTAATTGGATACCTTCACCCATATGGGCTACACAAGTAACACCTTCTCTCCTATTATGCAATATTTTCCTTGTTCTAACTCTTACATATTTCCTGTCAAGACAAATGCAATATTCGCACAAAAGTGTCCATATTAATTTATCTTGTCAGCCACACTGTACAACTGTGTCTCCTAATGACCATCTAAAAGAACAGTGACCTTTGGACTTCTATGAAAAAGCCTTTCACTCTTGGGACCATTTCCATCCTTCTTATCTTTCCATTTTTGGCCTAGATTCACGACAATGATGCGAGAATAGCCAAAAAATATAGTTTCCAGCCAGGCCTCCTGACTTCTAGGACTAATTTATTCTCGATTATTAATTTTGGTACAAGATGAGCTGCCTCAACTATGATTGTACTGTGCCTTAAAAGAAGTCTTGTGAAACTTTTGATAGAGCAATCTATGGGAACATGGGTACGGATGAGAATAGTCAAATCCAGTAGCTTTGTTTAACATGATACTGTACATTCCCCTAAACTCAGCCAAACCAAAGTATGTGATATGAGATGAGGTTCCATGAAAATTGTAAGGACTTTTAATTACATTTTTTATAGCTAGAACTTGTTTATTTGTAATTAAGTGTCTTATATAATATATTTTCTAAAATGCAGTATATTCTAGAATTTTAGATATATTAAAAGCATTCAGGTAGAATATAAGATATACAGTACAGTACTAATATTTGGTCATGTTTGTGTCCGTGTTTAAGATGATGAGTTACCTTTATCTTTTATCCACTTCGCCACTGATCGGCTCGTTAGCCGTTGAGTCGGTCGGTACACCTTTCTGTTACACATTATTGGCAAGTATTGGACATGTACTGGCGCCAGAATGTATCTGTACGTGCGCCAGTGAAGGTCAAGTCTGGTCCTGAATGAACTAACACTCGGTTTTGTAGTCAGTTTAGGATCTAATCATAAAATCTAATAAAGCTGAAAGTAATCGAGAATAGTAGCTTGGCACACATAATTTTTTCATGGAGCAACAAACTCCAATTTATCGGACTATACCTTTTCAACAATTTATATTGTAAGTTACCCAGATTATAATTATCAGGGATTGAAAGAATTGTCAGTATTCATGAATGTTCATACATTCATTACCATTGTCATATATGATTATTCACACACATAGCTTTCATTATTACTGGTATAATATAATAACTGTATTTTAATACCTATCGATTTAACTTTTATAGTTATACAGTAATTGGTCCAATTCCTGCATTAATTAAAATTGTTCCATTACAGTATTGTACTGGACTGTACTGTACAGGTACATGTATTTCCCGTAATTACTCTTAATTCTTATGGTATTCCACTATCACCAAGTGGCTATAGGTTTAAAAATACTATAAGATTACTACCCATTTAAATGTAACTTACAATCATTACAATTAAGACATAACAGCTGCAGTATTTCCTTACCTTAATACTTAAGGATGTTTTGCTCTGAATTGGATTGATTACTTAAATTCTCCTCATTTGGAGATTTTATTTATATATAAAAAGTCAGGCACGCTGTAAATTGATTAGCAGTCTGGGTATGTTGATACACTGTAATTAGCTTTGTCAGGGCTAAACCCATTCACATTACTGTAGAGATTCATTATCTTAAAAAAATGTGTGGTAATAAAGTACTCAGTAACATTTTCATGAACACTACTGACCGATGTGCCAAGTGATGCAAATTAACTGATCAAAACATGTGATAGGCATGACTGCCCGTTTGGGACACAGTGGATGCAGCACACTGTATACTAAGCCTTCAGTACACAAGGAGGCAGGATGGCCGGTACTGCACCCGATCGCATTCACTTTCCCAAGTTGTAAACTTAGGTACCCATTTACAGCTGGGTGAACTGGAAATGCCCGGGGATCGAATCACCGACCCGTGGAACAGAAGGCGAGCTCTGTATCCACTTGAGACCACTAAGTTCCTTGATGAGAGCCACAGTCCTCTCGGCAGTGTCGTTGACAACTCTGATTTCTTCCACACATTCCGTAGCCTTTTTGAAGACATATCTAAAGTTCCAGGTATGCGGATCCAGACAGAAAATCTATTGCAAGCCTCATTAAAAAATCATTTTGGTTGCCTGTGCAGGATGAAAAACATAATGATTATTAAAATTTGGTCGATCCTTGTAATAGAGATAAGGAAATTAGCATTTCAAATATAATTTTTTGCACTAGCCATATTAGGTCATGATTGATAAATGATCGTTTAGAAAATTACAGTACTTATTAACTGTAGAGTGAGCATATTTGGGGGGACGAAAGCCTCGAAAGAGTGAGTGTGAACATCCTGGCCTTTCTCATCCATTGCTAAGACCATGGCACTTTTAGTGGCTAATAAGATATCAAGATTGTCAGGGTCGAATAAAGCAAGATCTGACATCTCTTCAGAGAGGAACCACAGGTGTTTGGTGAGCATGGACAGCGCGACCTTTGAGACAACTGAATTGATGTTTCAGTAGGCATTAATATTCCTGAGGGCTAGTCACAGCATAAAGGCTGAAACCTCGGAGTCCCTTCTCCTCTCGAGCCGAAAGGCGGAACTGAGCTTAAAACATCCCCGGCACCCCCCATCGGTTGCCACAAGGAAGTACACCGCCAAGGAAACCCACTACAATTTTCAGGAACTCCTGGTAATCACCTCGGTAGTGATTTTACAACAGTTGCTTTTGCGCGAAATCGAGAAGTTCTTGCTTGACTGGCTCAATTATGGGAGTGATATCTTCATGATCTGAGCTTGTGTTGTAGGTCGTTTGAACTACTAGATTTCGAGCCTACTGAAACCACTTAAAGTAAAAAACTTCTGGACCTGACGCTCCTCTAAGGCATGTATTGAAAACAGCAGCCACGATCAGCTCCATGATGTGGTGCCGACAGGTAAAGTGGAGGAGGTCGCGTTCGATCTTTTGTTCAATCAAGACACATGCTCCTGACCGGTGGCCTGTACTTGCTGCTGTATTGTCGAATAGCAAACCAACTACATGCTCTTCTAGTCCCCACTCCAGTGCTGTGGTGATCACTTCTACCATATCTTCTCCTATCCCACTGTCTTGATAACAGTTGGGAGTTGATTGACTCCGAGGCCAGTCACAATAATGGGAAGGTGGTTCTTGTGACCTTTGACAGTTAGTTCGGAGAGTAACTTCCCATCTCAGTGAATGATTTGTGGCACCTTGACAGTGACTTCTTTCTTCGGGGATTTTGTAAAGTGAGAACGATGCTGCCCTCACAGCCACCCTCTAAAGTAGCAAATCTTTTTATGAAAAACTTCAGTCATTCTCTTCGCAATATGATAAGAATGTGTATATAGGGATTATAGGCTCAGAAAATACTAAATCATTTGCACTGTTGAAATTATACAAATTAAAAACGTATTATGAAAAGAAGAACTGGAGAATTTCTCAGCCTTCCTTTCTTCCGCAATAATGTAGTACCTCACAACCAATCACAAAAGTTGAGCATACATTCGGAAACAAATTACGTACATTTAGTCAGAAAATGAGACGTCATTTTAGGAGAATCTTGGTCCTAGTTAATAACTTAAAGCAGTACACCTTTCTTCCATAAAGGCCATATTCAAACAGGCTGTGCGAACGGACAGCCAACCACATATCCTCTCTGTTGCACAATAATAACTTGGGGTCGCACTGGATAGGCGACAGCACTAGATGGGGTCGCACTGGAAAATGTTTGGGAACCCCCAGATCTAGATCCATTTGGAATGGTTTCTGGTCTCAATAAGATTAATGTGTCAGAACATCTTATACTGTATTTAAAAGGATGCAGAATCAAGTGGAAGTGAAAGTAGATCTCATATGCGTGAATGTCCATTAAGGACAATGTGAATACAGCAAATTGTATGCTATATCTTAAGGACGCAAGGAAGCAGTGTGACTGGTACTGCATCCAACCACCTTTACTTCTCCCAACTGTCAAGTTAAGTACCAATGAACTGGGAGTGCCTCAGGATTAAACCAGTGACCCATAGGACATGAGGCTAGTGCTGAATAAACTCAACCACAAAACCCAAACAAACAGGTAATCATTTGTAAATAATATAGGACTAAGATTGTCAGCCGTAACACACACCCCTGCGGGATGCCACATAACACTTCAGTCCATTTACATCGCCTTTGTTTTTTACCTTTTAAATTTGATGAAATCTAGGATTGTAATTTTCTAGTTGTGCCTCAATTATTGAGCGTATCAAGCAAGGATGAGGAACCTTTTTGAATACCTTTATGAAGTTGGTGTATGTAACAACTTACATAGTTTTCAAGAAGACATTTACTAAGATCCCATACCAGTTAAAAAATTGACTAAAAGAAATCTAGATAACTTCAAACACCTTATATGGGCATCATTTATACTGCCATATTCTGAGTTGCAAGCGTCTGAACTCTCAGTGAGACTACACATGGGGCTCATGGCAAAAGGGATTTCACCCCTACTATAACTTTTTTAAGAAGGGACATCAGCCCTGTTTTAGAACCAGAGGAAGGCCCATCATTTCTGTTCGAGGAAAAGGTCCTTCAACTTCAATCAAAACTTTAATATCAAAATACGTTTACACTGAAAATCCAAACTGATACCTTTACCTTGTATTTCTTAGCTGGTTTAAAATCTTGCAGGTCACTCTGCAAAGACCACAAATGGAAGAATGAAGTGTCAAATCCCATTGTATAGTAGATGTTTGTATCCTAAAAGTTCATCTCTGGATTATCTTGGACTTTAATAGTAGAGTTTGCAAGTTCACCATTCTGATTCGGAATTCTTGTGATGCATTGGATTGTTGAAAATTCTACTCTTAACTAGGATACCTCGGTGATAGGCAGAAGTAGTTGTCACATCACCATTCAAAGCTTTGAATGGGTGAGGAGCGGACTTTGGGTTGAGTACCTTGCAAAGTACTGTACTGTACTGATAATGAGTAGGAATATTCTTCTAATAATATTTGCTGCAGTATTGAATACTGAATGCAATACTTTTTTTAAATATATGAATACAATACTGAAGAATGTATTATTTTATTTGTATGAATTTATGGAAAACTTATATATATATATATGTTGATAACCACAAGGAACTTCGTGTTTTCTTCTTTTCCTTGTGGTTATCAACATATATATATAAATATATATATATATATATATATATATATATATATATATATATATATATATATATATATATATATATATATATATATATATATATATATATATATATATATATATATATATATATATATATATATATATATATATATATATATATATATATATATATATATTTCATATCGATCCACAATGAAAACGTGGATAAGATAAATCTTGATAAAATCACACGGGAAAAGGGAAACAACGGAGCACCTTAGCTTTCTTCTTTATTCAAGACATCTTCAGGGGCAACTGTTGCCTCTGAAGATGTCTTGAATAAAGACGAAAGCTAAGGTGCTCCGTTGTTTCCTTTTTCCCGTGTGATTTTGTCAATATATATATATATATATATATATTTCGTGTAGATCCACAATGAAAACGTGGATTAGATAAATCTTGATAGAATCACAGGAAAAGGGGAAACAATGGAGCACCTTAGCTTTCGTCTTTATTCAAGACATCTTCAGAGGCAACTGAATTACACCGACAGAGAGAGGCTTGATTACACCAGGTGACCTTACTAAACATGAGGTCAGGTCATAAACATGACATCCACTAATCCGCACACCAACACCTCCACACACACAAAAGAGCTTAAAAGAAAGGGCGACGTAACTAGTCATGTTAAGTAAGGTCAAAAATAACATGTTACACAAATTTATTTGTCAGTGGCCCAAGGTTAAAAATGCTTTGAAAACATTCGAGTTAGATGTAGGATAGATTGTTAGTGGGTCCCATATTTTTGACCTGACTTAACATGACTAGTTACGTCGCCCTTTCTTTTAAGCTCCTTTGTGTGTGTGGTGGTGTTGGTGTGCGGATTAGTGGTTGTCATGTTTATGACCTGACCTCATGTTTAGTAAGGTCACCCGGTGTACTTAAGCCTCTCTCTGTCCATGTAATTCAGTTGCCTCTGAAGATGTCTAGAATAAAGACGAAAGCTTAGGTGTTCCATTGTTTCCCTTTTTCCTGTGTGATATATATATATATATATATATATATATATATATATATATATATATATATATATATATATATATATGATAACCACAAGGAAAGAAGAAAACACGAAGTTCCCAAGCGCTTTCGTGTAATTCACATCTTCAGGGGTGAATTACAGGAAAGCGTTTGGGAACTTCGTGTTTTCTTCTTTCCTTGTGGTTATCAGCATATACCTAGATCACGCGCACCTACAGTGATTTACTTGCTTATATATATATATATATATATATATATATATATATTGTACAGGCATATGCATGCAACGTGATACAATAATTTTTTCAGATATCATCCAGTATTATTTTCCCAAATCCTTTTTTTTATAAACTAGTTTGAGATCTTATTGTATTACAATATCTAACCATAGTGATAATAATGAAATGTTTTGAGAAAAATATGAATGTCTTCTGTGTAGTAAGGCTCAATAAAGACAGCTGTTATGAACTACCAAATATTTGTTTGTTTGTTTCACTGTAGCCATCTTTTCCGACAATTTTGGGGGTAGAGAAACTTCTCCACTAATCCTATGAAGAAATCATTAAGCACGCAATTAATTTTCAGAATGCAGGCCTCCTCCTTGCCAGATAAAGTGTATACCGTATTGCTAGCACATTGTTCCTCTTTGGAGTTAAATTCAAGAACACATTTTCATTACAAATTATGTAGTTATGTACACCCATGAAGAGAAGTAATGCGGCCTTTGGGTCTGATGAAAATCTTAAACAGTAAGTCTGTACAAACACAAATGAATCTTTGGGTTGGTACTATCTATACCCCTGACTTTGTAGTGGACGTCTCCCCTACAACTGCGTATCCGCATTCCGATGCGCCGCCGTATCCTAGCAACCAAGCGAGCGGGGACAGCAGATGTTACCATAACCTAGCAACGGAACTAGAGACCGGCGACTTTCTCGGGTTTTCCCAACATGACTCATAGAGGACTCACGGCTGCTGGGTATATAAGCTCTGTCTCTCCATTGAGATTCATTCGAACGGCAACTCGCCAGCCAGCCTTCGTTGTGAACGGACGTCTCTCTAGACCCCTCACTGCAAAGCCAGCCAGCCTATCTCTTACCACTGACAAACTGCACTCAATCATCAACCTCATTGCCATTACTTCATACAACAGGGAAGCTCGTTTCAGACAACGCCCTTTCTGTACCTCCCTACTGATCAGGGGTGACTCCTGATCAGAGGCGGCCCAGACTGGGAGATCTGTAACGGTTTTTCTGCAGCGGACTTGGGCCGCGATCCCACTGGTGCACTTGCACCATTGGCTATTTCTCCTTGATCTTCCTTCTTTTTCGCTCTGGCCTGGGGACCTGCACCCTAGAGGTGTATTCGTCCTTGGGTCCCCCCTGTAACTGTTCACCTCCACTGTAGGAGATTGTGAACACGAAAGGGGGTAGGAGCAGAACTCCCCCCCCCCTCCGCCGAGCCTTCCTGGGAAACCGTGATCGTGCGTGTTCCACCTGGGAAGGGGGTCGCAATCCTGAATCCTTACCCCTCCCCCCCAAATAGGTACACTAGCTCATGCCTATAAGTGAGCATTCAGTAACACTAGGGAAGTAGGATCCCCTGACGGGGCTTTCGGGACAGTGTTGCGGGAACCACTCTACGACCACTCGACCAACAAGTGGCGGTGGGGAGTGTTGT